GGGGGGGGTGGCCATCAGGGCGCCGGCTGGATGGACACCTCTGTGGAGCTGCAGCGGTGGCTCCGGAGCTGGCTGACACTCCCCTCTACCTGGGTGTGGGCACCTCTGCGATCACTCACCTTCTATGGCTCGCTGGTTGGCCTTGACTTCATATGCAATCAGATCTGGAAAAGAAAGTTAAGAAGTGGACCCTTCTTCCTTCCACCATCTGTAGCTCAAGCACAACCAGAAGTGAGTGTCACAAGTTGATCCCCTGAAGTCGCAGCGGCCGGAGGACACCCCTCCCCTAACCCTCCACCTTTCCTGGAAGGTTAAATATCTAAGCTTGGGGGTGGGGGGAGACATCTGAATTAGGTGTGAATAGTCCAGAAACCTGGAAGCTTAGATGATGCCCAGGCCTGGCGTTGGCATCCTAAGTGATGGGTCCAGTGCCCAGGTGAGCCCTCACCTCTGTGGAGCTCGGGCGAAGGGGGGGCTGACAGCTCGCTGGAGCCCACCAGGATGACGTCCATGCTGCACTCTGCCTCTGTGTCCGGGGCTGGGGCAGCTGCTCGGTGGCCGGCGCCCGGGAGACAGGACATGCACGAGCAGAGGGGAAAAGTGGCCCCTCAGCCTTTGCCCAGCAAGGGGGATGGAGCCCACCACCCAGCTCAGCCCCCACCCACCGTCCACAGCGACACCCACCCCTAGCGGGAAGACTGGCGGTGAGTGCCAACCCTGAGAGGGAGCGTGGCGTGGCCCTCTGGCAGGGGCCTCTCAGGAGGGGCCCCCCACAAGGTCGGGGGCTAGGGGTGGAGGAGCTGAGGTCCACCGAAGCCCCTGCCTCCGTCCACCAGCAGCTGTGGGCCCCTCGGCCACCCCCATGCTCCCGCCTCCCACAGTGTCCCCAGACCTGCCGGGCCCTCCAGGCAGGAGGCGGGAGAACAAGGAAGGGCCTGACGGATGTCACAGGGCAGCTGTTCACAGGGCGGCCACCACAGCTCCTCTGCCAGCTGCCCAGCTGGGTGAGGGTCCGAGCTGTCCAGGGGCTCCCGGCTCAGGGTCCGGGGGGAGGAGAGGGCCATGAGACCAGGGGAAGGGGCCTCCCGGAAACCAGCAGGAAACCGCTCAGGTGGGAGGACTGGGGGCCACTGGGTGTGGGCGGCTGAGGAGCACGGGGGAGGGGGTCCCCCAGATGTGCGGAGGTGGGTGGGCGACCTTCTGTGTGAGGGGTGTTGGGTGGAAGGGTGAGGAGCGCCTGCTGGCCACTCATAGGGGTT